TTTCTCATTTTTTTTATTCTTTTGCGTAAAACTAAAATTCATGCCAATATTTTTCCATGATTTATAAAAATTGGAGTAATGCAAATGCATATTTTCTAAAAAAAGTCAATTTTTAGTGAAATTTTGCCAGGAATGGGGCTTTAAATAATGAATATTCCAGTAGGCCTATATAAACAAATAGAGCTGCCTGTTACAAAATAAAGTAGGAGCTGAACTTCTTCTTGACTCTCACCTTGTACACTGAAAATAATAGTACTATTTTTACTACATGGCTAAAAAAGCACAAATATTGTCACTACTACAACTGACAGGGCCATTGTTAAATTAAGTCAGAGCCCAAAATATAGCATCATATTGAATACATCATCTGACATCATGGGAACCTAAACTTTAATTACAATTATTTGTTTACTAGGCCTAATTCAAAATTATTATTTTAAGACTTTAATCTAATACATACTGATTAATAATAGCTGATATTTGATGCACATTTCAGAATTAATAATCGTTTTTTATCTTACTGAATATTTATTGTCTACCAAATGAAATATGAATTATATTTGAATCTTTAGAAATACAATTTCTACAATATTAATCTTGTTTTTATATAGATAAATGTTCGATAAATACTATCTTTCATAAAACAAACGAAATTCAGCATGTCTATTTTTATTCCAATCAATGGCGTTTGTAAACATGTGCACTGACGTTATCGTCAAATCCCAGAACTTGCGACGGCAATGCCTGCCTGCCTAGGTCCCAGGCCAACCAATAATAATTAATAAAATGTATTTTTTTAAATATAGGCCTATGGAGCATCCTAGTACATGCACTTCAACTTTTACAACAAAAGCCTAGGCCTAGTAGTACGTCCTACTGTACTTAAGCCTAGGCCTACACTAGTTTGATGTCGTCGGGGTACAATTCTGTCTCTAAATACAGCATGACCACTAGGGAAAATAAAAATTCCCAAGAGTGGGTCTAAAAATTCCCAAGATTGCTTTTAAAAACCAAAGATTCTCAAAATATTCTTCATATAAGTCCTTCATTTTAAAGCTTTTTCAATGAATTATAAACTGTACAGTATTTTGTACTGTATAGGCCTTAACAAAGTGTCTGGGTTTTCAAGACCAGAAACTCGTTCGCTTTGGGCCATAGGCCTACTATAAGGCCTACTCTGTGCGTCCGTGGAAAATCCTTTTTGGTGACTAAGTGATATCCTTTCCTCTGGCATTGTATGTTAGGATAAGAATTCGAAGTTTGTGCGCAATTTTACCCATTCGATATTAAAAAAGTCAGTACTTCACACACATTTAGGCCTATGGCCTACAATATTATATAAAAAGGCATAATCGATCTTTACAGAGTGTCGAATTGATCTGTCAATTTTATACCAGGGGTCTACAGTATTGCATAGGATTATTTAACAAAAAGAAAAATTTGGAAAACAGTTTCCTTTGAAATTTACTTAAGCGAGTGTGTATGAAACCGGGTCTATGGCAACTAAAATTTGATACTACGTCTAGAAGTGTAGAGATACGAACCCTATTACTAAAAACTGTTGAATTCTAAATGATTACAAGATGACCAAGCATATAAATGAATCAGTCTAAAATGATATTCAAAGATATTATACAGCTATAGACTGCTAATGTTTGTTTTGCATGTTCTATCACACACTATCACTCACAAATTAATGTATGTAAAAATTGGTCGTAAAATTTGATAACAAGTTGACCATTAAAATCTATTGTAAATATTTATTTGAATCCGTACACCGATTTTGTTTCAAGTTGTTTGTTTTCAATATCATAGCTGTTTCATTAGGCCCTACGATGACAATGTTTTGAAATCGTACTGTATAACACTCCAAAATTTTTTTTTATGGGCAAACAACAGAAGGCTCTGAATTTTTTACAAGTTGACCAAGCGTGTTGTTGCATCACTATTGTTCAGTTACGATCACTATTCAGAGAGCAGCAGAGAGCAGCAGGCTGATAATTTGTTTTTCCCACAGCTATTTAGATGTCGTTGTTGGTAACTTTTTTTTTTAAATTGTGAGTGTAAATATTCTTTAGTGTATTAACTGTAGATAAGAATCTGTCTCTTATACACATCTAGATGTGGAATTGTAGATAAATAATGCACATAAAATCAATTGTCGATGGAGAACGGCGTCAGTCATCTGATTAGTCCCATATTAATAGTACCGATATTTTGAATACTTCTCTTCCGCAAATTGTTTTAGTGACTCATCTAATTCTTATATAATCACTTTCAACATTTTAATCGAAATAGTTCACCATATCGTAAAATTTTGAATACTGTACCAACCCAATTTGTTGGCGATCCTCAATGTATGTTATGTTAATGAAACATGTCATACTGTACAACAAGGGAATGTGTATTACAATATGCCAGTACGTATTTTTTAGGTTTTGACGCACTCCGTTCTGTTGTGTTTGTCTGCTGTTGAAAACAAACTTCCTCATTTTGTGACTCGCTATGATGACTGTGATGGACAATGTTGATTTATTAATAATATTTTGTTTGGGATGGAAAAAAGGAGTCAATTTCCCAAAAATACTCCATCAGCACATAGTTTAGTGTGGTTTATGAACAGTATGGCTATGGAATTTACTAACCACACAATCCGAATCAAAAAGTCGCAAAACTTTAGCTGCATTTGGTGGATTAAGTCGCAAAACTTTATCTTCATTTGGTGGCGCCATTTACTCTAGGTAGACGGAGACCAGTTTTGTTTCTGGTTGGTACATTTCTTACAAACATTCAGCCAAAGGCCAGTGAAATCTTTTATCGATGTTTGCCATCCTTATGTGAGCTATCGTAAAGCCATGGTTTGCCAGAGTTGCGTTCAATTTAAATCTCCGAACTTCTGAAGCTGAGATATTCTATGAATGTAGGCTTGTATCGCTTGATACAATTTAAAAACGGCTGACCAAATAATGAATTAGGTGCTAAATTTTGATTTAATGCTGGGTAAGTTAAAAACAGACATTCCGTCCGAGTGGGACTCATTCAAAAATTTGAGGGGGTTCGCTAGAAAACAGGGGGGTTCGCTAAAAAAGAGGGGTTCGCCCGAACCATAAAAAACCCCCCTGGCAACGGGCCTGGGCTAGATGGGTATGTGTGCTAGTAAATTGGGGCCATTTGTAGGTTAGTTTATGTGTGTGTTATTGTTTCATTGTTTATAGTATATTTCTTTACATTCTTATTCATTTTTAATTAAAATTTGTCTTTACTGTGTGCTAGGCCCTCCCTATTTTATAACAAGCCACTTTGGGCTTCATGAGGGTTCCAATTTTTCGTCTGTTAATTTTATATATACGAATTTTGAAAAATAAAGAATTTTGTATTTGTATTTGCTACTGTAGATAAGTGTGTGCTGGTATGTGGAGCTAGATGGGTGTGCGTGCTAGTATAATAATAATAATAATAATAATAATAATAATAATAATAATAATAATTGTCAATTTGTATAGCGCATAATAAATACCTCTATGCGCTTTACAGCATGGAGTGGGATAAATTATAAAAAGTTTCACCCCAAAAAAAAAATGAATAACAATATTTAATGAATAACAACAATAAATATAAATATATGATTACTATGTTAACAAATAAATAATTTGAAAATACAGAATTTAATTTATTTTAAAAAAAATCTATCTAATTGTTAAATATTTATTTTCTTATTACTAATTACTTACCTTTTACTGTACTTTTCTTCTCTTTACATTTGTTTCCTTTTTTACTTACGACCTGTCTCTCTTTTTCTTTACTTCCCTGTAATTTCTTTCTTTACATTTTCTTCCCCTTTCATTTTTCTACCTCTTTTTATGTTTTCCTTTTCCTTTTCCTTTTCTTACCATATATTTTCCTTTAGTATGTGGGGTTAGATGGGTATGTGTGCTGGTATGGGTTTAGATGGGTATGTGTGCTGGTATGGGGTTAGATGGGTATGCGTGCTGGTATGTGGTGTTAGATGGGTATGCGTGCTGGTATGTGGTGTTAGATGAGTATGTGTGCTGGTATGTGGTGTTAGATGGTTGTGTGTGATGGTATGTGGGGTTAGATGGGTGTGTTTACTGGTATGGGGTTTGATGGGTGTGTGTGCTGGTATGGGGTTAGATGGGTGTGTGTGCTGGTATGTGGTGTTATGGGTATGTGTGCTGGTATGTGGGGTTAGGTGGGTACAGTATGTGTGCTGGTATGTGGGGTTAAATAAGTGTGTTTGCTGGTATGTTGGTCTGGATAGGTATGTGTGCTGGCATGTGGGGCTATTGTAGATGAGTGTGTGCTGACATGTGGGGTTAGATGGGTGTGTGTGCTGGTATGGGGTTAGATGGGTGTGTGTGTTGGTATGCCTCGAGGTTGCGTCAACGTGAGGCGCTATATAAATCCAGAATTATTATTATTATTATTAGATGGGTGTGTGTGCTGGTATGTGGAGTTATGGGTATGTGTGCTGGTATGTGGGTAGAATATGTGTGCTGGTATGTGGGGTTAGATGAGTGTGTTTGCTGGTATGTTGGTCTAGATAGGTATGTGTGCTGGCATGTGGGGCTACTGTAGATGAGTGTGTGCTGGCATGTGGGATAGATGTGTGTGCTGGTATGTGGGGTTAGATGGATGTGTGTGCTGGTATGTGGGGTTTGATGGATGTGTGTGCTGGTATGTGGGGTTAGATGGATGTGTGCTAGTATATGGGGTTAGACTGGGTATGTGTGCTGGTATGTGGGGTTAGATGGGTGTGTGTGCTGGTATGTGGGGTTAGATGGGTGTGCGAGCTGGTATGTTGGGCTAGATGGGTAAAGGTATGTATCCTGATATGTGGGGCCAGATGGGTATATGTGCTGGCATGTGGGGGCCGCATTGGTGTGTAAATGAGGAAAGATGGGAGTGTGATGGAGATATGGACGAGGAAGGAAACATTAACACCTCAAGCACAATACCATAATTTTTTACTAATTAATACATATTTTGATAAATTCCTATAAAATTAAGTTACTTACAATCTCTTGTTTTCTTCTCTAGCCTCCTCCAACAGACTGTGTCCATACCGTGGAAGCACATCTTGCCTGAATGCTCTTGGTGTTGCTGACCTTAAAAGTAGGAGGTCAAATGTTTGAAAATATTGAATATGTAATCATTGTCTAACTAAATAATAATAAAAATAATACTAATAAGCAATGCCAAAAAATGTGTTGTGTTACTGCAAGAGCTAGTCCACACTTGGTTTTTCCAGGTAGCTTAAATACAAAAAGACCCTAGATGAAAGTTAATATACAAGCTAAAGTTAGTTCACACTTGGTTTACCAGAAAGCTCAGATACGAAAGGACCCTAGATGAAAGTTAATATACAAGCTACAGTAGTTCACACTTGATTAATACCAGGTAGATCAGATATGAAGAGATCGTTAGCTCCATGCTTGGGGTGCTTTAAGACTTGTCAGTCAGAGCCAACTCAAAGCTCAAGCTCAGTTCACATAATCGAGGTGGGCAAAGTGTGACCCGCAGGCACCATGCGGCCTGACAGAATGGTTATGCGGCCCGCGAAAATTAATTAAAAACCCTATGTGTGCGGCCCGCCAAGCAACAATGACATTGTTTTTTACGGTCTGATATCGATCAAATGTAAAAATAACATTAAAACTGCAAATAAAGTGATGTAAAAGCAGTGCTTGGAGGTTTTTGGAAGTTCACTGGTAACAAGTTTTAGTGCAGCCCTCGGTGTTAAATCAAAAATTCACTTTCACCCTCCGACCGATTTTTAGGCCCACCCCTGGTTTACATAAATCTTGACAAATATCATGTGGACAGCACTATACTGAGTTAATCATACCTGCGGTCATCCACTGGCGGTCTTGCGTTCTGTCTGCTTGTGTCTGGTGCCGCCTTAGCACGACCCTGTAATGATTAATATTTTGATGAGAAAATCAATATTTACTCTTTTAATATAAAATATAAAATACTTTTATTATTATTATTAATATTAATTACACATATTATTATAAAAATAACAGCAAAGGCGAAAATGACAAGGCGAAAAAGAAGATGACAAAAACAACAGAGGACAAAGATGAAGACATAATGGAAGAATTATGGCAAGGATACCGACTATAAAACAATAATAACAACAACACTTTTGTTAAATTTTATCTCAGATGATCCAAGTATTAGAGAGAGTAAAGATAGTAAACGTTATGTAAACTTATGTTATTAATCTATCAGAGCTTTCATCATCCAAAAGAAAATTTAACAAATATTTCCTGTGTGATCTTGGAGGTTAAAAACATTTTGACCTTTGGCATTTTGAATCTGTAAGCGCAGGTCATCTGGGCAATAAAATCCAACTATAAAATGACAAAGACCATTCTAGGGCAGGTGTTGTAAAAAACAGATAATGAATATTTTGGTGGATAATGGAATATTCCATTCAATTCTGCTATGCCTCTCTGAATACAAATTATAATTTTAAACTTAAGAAAATAATGTGTTCCAATTGACTCATAAACATTCAATATTTGTATACTATAGCATTCTAAACGTTAGTACATGCACTGTACTTACTGTGTCAATCCTAGACTGAACATGAGGATAAGATGTTTGTCTCTTACTCTGAGTAGCCAACTGTTGCTTGGCTATCATTAACTGTAAATAAACGATAAGATATGAAGACGAATCATTTTATATAAAGTTAGTGAAATATTTTATATATGGAAGATAATTATTGCATAGTTCATCAGCAGTATTAATTTTGCACTATCATTTAAACTATAGTCAGTTTTATTTGGTAATACAGTATATAAATACAACATGGTTTGAGGTGAAGCAGTGCGTTCAACAGTGTACTTCCCGAGGTGTTGGATGATTCGGACTCCCTCCAGATTTAATAAATATTAAACAGCAAACTGTCCATCTACATTAGCAGTTTGCATATGGCTCACATAGGCTGGGGTGCAGTAGTCGATTTTGGGTAGTAGTTGATTTTGGGTAGTAGTTTTTTCCCCACGTACGCGTAAAATTGACAC